TTCCGCGGGGAAGGGTCCGAGGTCGTCCCCGGCCCTCCAGGTGTTGCCCCCCAGCCCGCCACAGCCCCGGCAAGAGCCGGCGAGGTGGTTGGTAATCTGGGCCCCGGAGGGCCGTGTGCAGGGAAGGAAAGAACACGGGGTGTGGCTCCCGGCTGCGGCGCGCGCAGACTTCGTGGTCCGGCAAGTGACCGAGCTGGGCCGCCACGAGGGCGAGGCGCCACCCGGCACGGAGAGTGGGGGTCTGGGTCCCAGTGACCGGCTGGGTGGCGGTGAGGACTCTGGAGCCGGGCGGTGATGCCCACGGCTCAGCGCCGCCGCCGAGAGCCAGGTGCCCGAGGGTCTGTCCACCCGCTTCTGCCTCTGCTGCCTTGTGGGTGGACCCGGTGATGGAGGGGACTGCTTGGCGGGTCTGTGAGGACTGAGACAGTAAAGCCAACAGGAGGAGCAGCAGTAAGGCCCCATCTGCTGGTCGCTTCCCCTGTCACTGCCTAAGCCCTTTGCAAGAGTCCGCGTATGTGCTCATGGTCCCCTAATGCGTGTGTGGTCGCCGAGAACGCATAAGGAGGAACGTGTATTAAACAGCATGTGTTCCCGTATGCGCATGTAATCAGTTTATATGTGTGTGCGTGTGCTATGTGCACACGCGTGTATACACACACCACGGTGTGGATCTGCATGTATAATCATGTTAGGTGACCTACAGATAAGGTATATATGTTACTTGAGTCTATGAACTATAGACGGCACGGTATGAATTCTACAGGTCGCCGCGGAAATGATGGATTGATTATTAGGAAGGAAGAAGGCTATATGCCAGGTGGCGCGCTCTGCGTGTTTGAACCGCAGCTCGCTCTCGGAAGGACATGTCGAGGTGGCTACCCTCGTCCCCCGTGTGTTCTAGAGGTGGTGACCGAGGCACAGAGAGGCTGAGAGACTGTCTAAATGCCTCTCGTGGCTCCACCTGTGGAGAGCCGGTTCTGTGTGGACAAACCGTAGAGGCAGCCTTTGTAGAGGGTCAGCCTCTGGCCAGACGATGTCAGTGGGTCTCGTGGTTGGCTCCGGTCCTGAGTCCTTCAGGAGAGGGCACCGTGGGTTTTAAAAAAATCCTTGATGTTTTTAATAACGAGCCACTGGGAAAACGTTTCCCCTTTGAGATGACGGGTAAATTCTCTTCTCCAGGCCGGGTGTCCGTGGGCCAGGCAGCCGTGGTGACCTAGACCCCGAGGCAGAGACGCACCCTCGGTGTCCCCCGTCCACCATTCCGGGTGAGTAGGGGACCGTGCTCTTGTGAGGGGCTCCCAGAAGGGGCCGCTGGGCAGCTGCTCCCACCCCGCCCACACCGGCATCCCTTCCGGGGCTGCAGATAACAGCAGCTTCAAGCCCTGGTGTCCCCACCGGGCTCTGCTTTGGGACACGAGATGGACTCGGCCCGTGGTCCAGTGGCCCACATGGCACTGAATCCCGAGCAACTGCCCACGGAGAAATTCCTGCCCTTCCTGTCCAAAAAGCACCGGGTGGATTTACATACCTGTCTCCCAAGTATATGGTAAGCGTTGTGCACGCCTGTGTGCACACACGCACAAAAACCCCCAGACTTCTCAAGTTTTCCAACAGAAGTGACTATTTTATGTCTTCCCTCGTGAGGATATTATTTTTAGTCCTAATTCTTGACTTCTTCGGTGAAAAATTCATCACGGACAAAAGGTTGGGACTCTGTGTTGGTACGTGGTATGTGTCGGCACATGCTCGTGTGTGTGCGCACACACAATGCATGCACATACGTTCATGCACACACACTGCACAAACGCACACATGCACGCACACATGCTCACACGCACATGCATACATGCGCACGCACATGCACACACAATGCATGCACACGCACGCACACACGCGCATACGCACACACACATGCATACACATACGTGCCCATCGACTGGCTCTCCCGACAGAAAAAGGGTCAGATCTGCAGGGCGAATCCAACAGGAGGGCCGTCAGGAAAGTGACTGAAAGCGGACTCCTCCCTGGACGATAGCGGGCCCAGCTCAGGAGTGCTAACAGCAGACGGGGCCTGGGGCTGTGCCTTCTCCATAAGCTCATCAGCTTGTCTGTGAGGGCATGGGTACACACGCAGCAACGTGTGTGTGCGCAAGGGACGGCCTTCCGATGCCGCCAGAAGCAACCCAGCTTGTCAGGCTGTTGAGTGAGACCCGGCGATGGAGATAGCGGTTCTAAGCTCATTGAATCGTATCTGTGATTTTTTTTTAAATTTTTTGACATGGAGGAGATCTAACTGTGTAATTCGAGTACTGTTATAAGAGAAAAAACAGCAGTTGGGATCAGACTGTGACTGTCTCCCGGGCATTGTCCGCACAAAGCTTAATGGCAGCCTCTGTGTATCCACACACGTGTGTCACCTGCTATGGGCTCCTTTGGGCTCCTCAGGTCCTCCTACAGGCACACGGGGGAGGAGGGGGCCGTTGCCAAGCCTTTGCATCCGCTCGAGTCTTGTAACCTTCCCGCTTCAGCCATCATTTTAATTTTCTTTACATTTTACGTAAAATGTACAGGCGTCTTCTCTTCATTTTGGAGAGGAGCCTGGTTTGGGAGATCCTGGTGTACACTACTGCTTTTATCCCGACTTACACCCCTGTATCTGGACAGCGCAGGGACTCTGATACGAATCCGCATTTTAGGAGATAATTGTCACCCTCCTCGCCACGTGCCAGGATAAAACCAGTGAATTTTAAAAATTAATTCAGCCTTCCACATGCTGTAGGGAGGGACCCGGGAGCCTAGGCTTGACCCCCCACCCCCACCCCGCACCGTCCGTAATGGAGCAGAATTTTGGGGAGAGGGCACGGGCTTCAGCGTGAGGCAGGTCTCCATGTGGGTTTTTCTTCCAGTCGTCGCTAGACATGACTTTGGGCAAATCATATGACCTGTCAGTCCGTCTTGTCTACTTTCATAAAATGTTACCTTCCCAGAACCTCGGTCGGGCATTAGAAGTTGGTGTGGACCTGCGCAGTCCCGTGCGCGAGGAGTTTACAGAAAAGGGACCCCTGGATGCACTTGACATGGAGTGAGTCACACTACGGAGACCGCCTGCGCTGCGGGAGGAGGACGGGAGAACGAAAATCAGCTTTTGGCCCTGAGGGTGAGGTTTCTCGGCTCTACAGTTGAAAGCTACAAGCCCTCCGTGCGCCGGGAGAGCATACGTACCCACTTCGGTTAGGATGGCACCTTCTAGAAGGTCAAACTCGCCGCTCGCTCGATGTGGGACTTCACGTCATAGGAGCTCATGGTTCTGTCACGTACTCTCTCATTTATTGTGCACGACAGTGTGAACAGGTGGGTGTCACCACGATCCTGAATTACAGGAGAGGAGCCTGGGGCCCAGGGCTTTGGTTCAGCTTTGCCCTGGGCTCTGGCTCGCAAGTGACCAGATCAGGCTTCAAACCCGTTTTGTTTGGTCTTTATATGTGTTACCAACATGACGGGATAGCACGATAATTAAATGATAGGATGGCGATGGTATTTAGGTTTCTAAATGGGGCCGAGATTCAGCCCTCATGGCAACCTTGAATAATTCAATGAAATGAGGCGCACCGGAGGCTGGGCAGGACCCTTGGGTCATAGTGAGCCCTTGGGAAGCGGACACTGTAGCCCTTGCTCGTGTTTATCTTCTTCCCCCGTGCCTCCCACCCCCCAAAGCTGCATTAATGACTTGCTCATATGTTTTGTTTGAAATGCACAGTTTTTGTGGCTGTTTTGGCGACATTTCCCTTGCTGGGGAATCGGTCGCCTGAGTTCTGTTTCTTTCTCAAACGTCTCTGGTTCCTTCCCCAGACTCGTTTGGAAAGACGACTGCGCAAGGAGTGCCTGCTGAACCCGGCGGCCCCATTCACCCCGTCACCCCGGCAGTGCCCACCGCCCCGGACCCCCAGCGGGCCCGACTCCGGCCACGCATGTGCTCGCGGACTCTACCGTCCCAGGAAACGCACGGAAGCAAAAGGACTCAGAACACCGACTCGCAGGTACCTTTTCAGACTAAGCTTTTATTTTTTTGATATTACAAACCAGTTTTTCTTTATTCACAAACCACTGTAAGTGATATAAACACTAATTTCTAAAGACAGATATACACATTTTCTGGGTTTGCAGATTGCGTGATGTGTGTGTTAAGAAGTCACTATATGCCACACATGATATTAATCTTTTTTTTTCCATAATTCATAATAGCAATAGTTACTTAGATAAATGAAAACATTCCAAATAAATACTGTTTAAAAAAATCCAAAATGTTCGTTTACATCTCTGACATACATTTTAAAATGACTTATTGGCATCTTGGTGGAGTGCCCAGACGAAAGGTTTTGGAACATCATGGGGCACTCACTTGCTCTAAATGATTTTATTAAAACTACATACAGTCATGGGGGAAAGTACAGCTCATTGATGAAAATCAAAACTGCAAATTAATTTTACTTGAACCCACACAGTAAGAATTCTATGTTTGTGATTCCAAATACAATGCAAATTCTGGATTTCTGACCTCGGAGGCCATCGGGAGAGAGTTTTGGGTTCTCCCGAGCCCCCCTCGCCACGTCCCTTCGACCTCTCTCCCCTTCGGGGGGCATGGTGCCGGCGTGTTTTCATGGAATTAGAAACACATCTGCCAGGCACCCACGGTCCTAGCACTGGCATCTAGGTGGGGGAATGAGAATGGCCTAAAACCCCCGCTCTGGCCCCTCGCTCCCCCACCCACCTCAGTCTGCGGAAAAGGACATCTGACATGCTTGCTTTTGGCTGCTAAGCAGTGCCCCCCGGCCACCACACCACCCCTTGGCTCCTCTCCAGATCCCCGAGCATCTGTCTTAGATAGCGAAGCTCCAGAAACTCTGTTTTCAAATCTTGTGAAACTTTATTGATGGTTTAATATCCAACCGATCTTACTGCATGCACATAGGATGACAAGAGAAAAGCTGGATCACACACACTTTTTTTTTTTTTTTAAAGTTTTGTTTGGTTTTGTTTGAAAGCAGAGTTGTTAAAGCGGATTGGCAGGTCCACAGCGGTGAGTTGATAATCGGCTGAGGGGCGCGCCATAGGGCCTACGCTGTACACAAGGAGACTGACCTATGGCAGCGGGACTACTGGAGGCGGCTGGCCGCTGTTTGTTTTTCATTTAAATACAAAAACAGGAAGACCCGTGACAGATACCCCAACTTAGGTTAACTTGTAAACAGGACAACATGGAAAGAGTTCAAACAGAAGTAGTACAAACTGCAATTTTTCGGCTGTCACTCTGGCCCTGCTTGGGGGAAGTAGGGGGGACGGAGCTTTTGTTCTTGCGGGGGGGTATGGGGAGAGGAGGGTGAAACCTACTTTTTTTGCTTCCTTCTGACGAGTGTCCTGGGCCTTGGAGACGGAACTAAAGATACTGGTTTGAGAGACTCCTCGGGGACCAGGAGGAGGAGGAGGGCAGGCTCTCATGGACGGAAAAATTGCAGATTGCTCACACAACACAGTCATGTTTCAAAAAGTACCAAGCTGATGAAAATACCATGATTATCTCTACTCAATGATTGCAATACTTGTAAAATGCTTCTATAAATCCGAATATGATTATCATGTAATTCCATAAAAATTATACATCTGTCTCTAACAGTTGCTCTACTAGGCTAAAACTAAAGCTTCATAGACTGTTTCTAGAACTTAACAACGCCACTGCACAGATGTAAATTTTATACATTTTTTTTTTAACTGGTACAAAGAATTTAAGTTTTTATTACTTTCTTTTTTTGGAAAAAAAGAAAAAAATAGAAACAGTGCTTTTTTATCACCTTTTTATTAATGTTATTTTTTTTTCCCTCCCGTAATATAAAAGTCAGCAATGATATCAATAATTTATTATACTGGAAGAAATATAAAAAGAATGCTTGTTGATGGCCTAACTAGCAGTTTTTGCCTAAATAACTAGCGGCTGGTTGAGAAGCTGAAAACGGCCAAGTGGAATGGTTTAAAGGGTGGGTTTGCACAGCTTCATTCAACTTCAACTTGGATGCACAAAGTGCTTGGAGAAGCACTCCCTTAAACAACATAACCTTTGGCTTGAACTCAATGAGTAACTTAGAACCGCTGACATATGATTGTTGGTGCAGTGGGTCGTTTGGATTCGTCAGTTACTATTCTGGGTTTCCTTTTAGCCCAAATCCCGGTCCCCGTCCCCTAAGACCCTCCCCCCCCACCCTTCCCCGCTCGTAAAAGAAAATAAAGCAGATGCAGAAAAAAATGACTATTGTAGTCACTTACACTCTTCCCAGACAGCTGATAACCCCAGTAGCTTAAGATTCAGCATATAGAATTCATTTACATGATATAGCACTCTGGATATGGCCCTAAACCGGTTTTTATTCATAGCTAGCGTCTCTCTAGTTCAACCACAAAAACTCCTACAGCCAGCAACCAAACTACGGAACCTTCAGAAATTAAAGACCCACAATATTAAAATACACAGAACAAAATATCTGAGGTATAAGATAAAAAATGTAATTTTTTTCCTTTTTTTTTTTTTTTTTTTATTTTTAGAGCTGCTAAAATGATGTACTACTGCGTGTATTGCAATACCCAGGCCTCGGAAAGCTTCCTCTCTCCCCACATTGGAAGGTTTTAATGGTTTTGTCATTTAGTATGGAGCAAAACGGTTGTATCCCCCTCGGTATATACTAGCCTGCAATGAAGAAAGAACGAGACCCACATCATCAGCATGGCTCCTAGTCTTGGCATCAGTCAAGGGTGCAAAAGCATTCTGAAACAAAGCAATTTGAGGGGTGTGTTTTTTACATTTTCCTTTTGCAACACGTGGATCATCAAAAAAGACTCATGTGAGAAACAGACACGCAACCGAAAGGGAGGCGCCCCCTACCCATCCCAGCTCCGTCTCCGAGAGCTCTCGACAGGGCCAGTCCCGACCTCCCTCGGTGTCTCTTTCTAAAGAAGGTCCCTGCGAGACCGAGTCCCGTCGGCCAGCCCTGCTGGAGAGGACGCCTCCGGCACAGGCTGGGCGACGGTAGGATGTGCCCGGACTCATTCTGTTGGCTCGTGAACATGAACCAACATGAACTCATGGACGCGGCATCCCGTCGGCCAAAGCTCCGTCTGCCCTCGGCTCCGAGAGCCGGGGGCAGCCGGCGGGTGGGATGCCGCGACCGGCTCTCGTCTCCAACCCGCTCCTCAAGCGGGCTCGGTGTTGGGGCAGAGTTGCCGAACACAAAATCGGGATGCCAATCTAAATCAACTGCTCTACTTGCCTGGGCTCGACACCCTGGATGGAATTGGTTCTTGAGAGGGGAGTTTTCGGATAAATTGCTTGACGTCATCGAGCTTGTGCGAAAATAATACGTTTCCAAATCATGGCTGAATTTCTATGGCCAAGCTCCAGTGACGTGTCTGGTCACGGCTCTAGATGGCTATGAGGTGTCACTTAACTCTTCCCTTTTTTTTTTTTTCCTAAAAGTACGGGCGATTCCAAAGAATGCCTATGGGGATTTGTTTTTAGGATAAGGTCTGGTATTCTTGATCCCAAGCAGAAAACTGCATGCCAGAAGCTTTTTAATGATTGCATACGCTCTCACGTGATGGGCACGTCTTACTGTACTCAAGAGTTTTAGTGCATAGAGGTTTGAACAAGTACAGGCAAATTCACCCCACCCTCACCTCCCGTTTTCGCCCTCCCCCCCCCCCCCTCCCCCAAAAAAAAACCCCCGGCCCCCCCCCCCCCGAAAAAAAAAGCGAAAACAAAAGACAACTCCCAAACCCAGCTGATTCCTTCTAATTCCTTAGGTACTAGGCACACACACAAAGTGTGCCCCTCTCTCTATTTTCTTTCCTGGGCGACTATGACTTTAAACATGAATTGTAATAGGGGAGGAGAGGCAGTCAGATTCTCAGCTGCCTGACAGCAGAGGCCTGGAAGTGTGCAGCTTAGCTCCTCTGAAGTCTGTGCTGGGGCTGGAACCTTGGGGCTATGTGAATGAGCAGCAAGGGAGGGAAAAAAAAAAGAAAAAAAAAAGTTCTGCATTGACACTGCATTCTGTTAGTGATGGATTTAATTATCAAAATGACTAATTATTCCATTAAGGTAAGTGCTCTGCTAGGTGAGACTTGCAAAATTAGAAATATAATAACTTACATGCACTACATTGCCAAGAAATTAAGACATTTATCAAGTTTACTGGGAGGATTAATGTGGCATTTTAGCTGCTGTTAGCACAAGAGACAAATTCAATTAAGGGAAAGTGAGAGGACGTCAACCGTCCACCCGTATGCTAAGGTCCCAGCTGGGGGAAGGGAAGGGAAGCAGGAAGAAGTGAGGAAGAGGAGGGCCTGGTACTCACCATGGCACCAACGCTGTAGGTGGGGGCTGGAGCAAGTGTGTGGTGGTAGGGGTCGGCAGCATAAACTCGTCCGTAACTGAAAGGAGAACACGGGGGACGGTGAGTCCATAATATGCAATTGCCGAGTCCCGATAACCCTAACACACAAGAATTCCGAGACAGTGTGGAGAGGCCCTGTTTGTCTTCACAGGTCGGGAACACGTTCCCACCTGCCCCACGACATCGGAGAAGGCCGGCTGTGTCCAGCGCATTCTTCCGTCCCCTTAGCATTTCTGGGGAGATGAGAACGCATCTTCCTCTCTCTCGTAGCGCCCTTCCTACGCTGCTCGCAGAGCTACCACGGAGCCCGGGGTAGGCAGAAGAAACACCTTGAAGGAGTGGTTTTAAGAAGCCCCGTACCCGCAGGGGACCTGTCTCTCTCTCTCTAGAGACGCCGTCTTCTCTGCTAATTCGGCTGTTACCAATCAAGCGAGACGAGGTAGGTCACAAAGGGTCAAGCAGCCTAGTCTGCCGTGAGGGTCCACCGTCTCAGAAAATATCAGATGTACTTGAACAGGAGGACCCTTGTAGGCTTTGTAGGACCTCCCCCACCCCCCCCACACTCCCACTCAAGAATGAGTCTGATTTGATCTCGATCCTATCACCCCAGAACGTCGGCCTCATCAGTCAGTGGTCGGGTTTGGAGAAGGGGCCCATTTGGAACAATATTTCTTGAGGACGAGAGCCCCCTCCCTGGACTGCCATGCCTTTCAGGACCGGCTTTGGAAGAAAAACAGAGAGGGATGCCTGCTGAGCGCCGGGGCTGAACGCAGCAGCAAATCAGAAATGAAGGTTCAGAGAGTTTAAGTTACTTGCTCGGAGTCACAGGGCCAAATGGAGTCCGAGCTGATCCTGGAATCTCTCAGGGCAACCCGAAGGCTCCTGACGTGGTGTCCAGACCCTGACTCGAATGACCTGCCCGCTGCCTTCCTGGAGAGAGTCTGCACACTGGTCTTGCTAATGATCAAAGCTGAGGCGCGCGCTAAGCGAGGTTACGTTCCCTGGAATGGAGATCCTTATCCTGCACATGCTTTGTTGAGGAGCCTATCAGAGGGGCGGCGGACGGGCACGCGGGTTGGGGACTGAGAAAGAAGAGAAGCAAGGATGTGGTCTGAGCTGGAGACTAACTTCTGCCTGACCCTGGGAGCTGCACCCCAGAGAGGACCCCGCCTGGAGACAGGGACGTCAGTTTTTTAATGCCCGTGGAAGTTAAGCAGGAGTTGTGGGCTTCCATATGGAATGGAGGATAACTTCTGGGTCCAATGGACTCTCTGTGGCAGCGGGGAGTTCTCTGAAGGAGGCAGCCGCTCTGCGCCCGTTAGCAGCCCAGGCGCACGGCAGCGGGGGGACACGTGTACCGGCCACTATGTGAGATGCACGTCTGTTACCAAGGGCTTGTGACTCCTGGACTTTAGGGAACGAAGGAATGAGGTAAGAAGAGCTGCTTTGTCTGCACTGTCAACCTTGAGCTCCCCTCCCATCTCGTAACGTCTCAGTTGCCTGTATTTATATCCTTTCCTTTCCTTCCCATCTTCTTTTTCACAACTGGAGGATAAGAATGTACTGGTGGGTCTCCCTTGGTAGCTCACGCCAGAGTCTGGGATAGTGGGAAGAAGCCTGGATGAGACCCAAGAGAGCTGCTTTAACTTTTAGGGTCCGAGTTAGACCCCCAAAGGGAAAAGAAATTTTTGATACCAAGTTCTCCTCGGCTGTGTCCTACTCCTAAAGCCTGCTTGTGTGTTTCCAAGGGCTCTGGGCTCAGATGACCTAGATGAGGCTTCCTGCTTAAACACACCGCGTTCTCCTGATCCTGCAAAGCTGGGGCACGAAGGGACGTTTCTTTTCCGAGGTGACCCTCTCAGGGAAACTAACGAACAGTCAACCCCTCTTGGTCTCCATTCTTTGGGACGCCCTTGATTGATTTGTCTCCCTCAGATGGCTTTCGGGCAACAACACTCCCTCTCTCTGGGAGGAAGAACAGTTCTAAGTCCAAGACCAAGGGTGTGTTAAAGAGGGAGGAGGAAGTTTTTGAAGAAATCTTCGATTCACAGAGGTCACCCGTGAAAGTTGGGCCTCTGCCCACATCACTAGAAGGAGATGTGAATGGGGCTAAAAGGACATGATCTAGGAGTTTGGTGCTGCTTTTCATTTTGTGAGAAAATAGTCTGTCATTGGTCTGGAGGGAAAAAGAGACCACTAATAGGATTATTTTCATGTACTTCCACCCGGCAAAGCTGGTCTTAAAATGCAAAGATAAACTGAAAATTCCCGGGAACTTAGTAAATGACGCCAGCGTGTCACTTTGATGGTATTCCTTCAAAACGAGCAGGACAGTGCCCATTTCGAGAAATTATTTTTTTTAGAATTCGGGGGGAGGGTTTTACTGGGGCAAGATTTTCGTCTTTGGAGGAGATAACATGTTGGTAGTCCGAACGTATTCAGTGAGGATGACGCCCACCTCCGCCCCCCCGCGTGCTTTAGCGGTAAATTCTTTGTTGCCTCTAACCCCGGGCAGAGTTTCAACCTTTGTGGAAAACCCAAGGTAACAATTTGGCAGTATTCTTTTCTGAGGCAGAAGAAAAATACAGCGGCACTGAACTATTCCTCGTAAATGAGCAGGCTCCTTTTCTCCTCGGGGTGACCTCTACCTTCAGAATCCAATGGCTTTATTATGATTAATAAATTTCATTTCCACAGAGGAAAAGGGACCATGTCAGCTCAAACAGAAAGCTAGGAGGCTTCTTTTCAAATGCTAATTTCTAAACACGCCCTTGTGTGACACGACAATTTAGACACAAGGTTATTAGGGAAGATGTGGATTGAAGAGCTAGTCTTGCAGCAGAAGTGCCAGGCATGTCAGCGACCTCCTGTCCTCAGAGCTGGCTGAGCACAGCCCAGAGGAAAAGTGGCACTTCCCAGGGACCTCGATGGGAGTGATGGGAAGATGTCTTACGACCGCCACGTTCCGAGTGACCTACACATACCACCGTCACCCTCCACGCCACCCCTCCCTTTGGCAAAGTGGACAGTGGCGCAACCTGGCCATGATGCTGCCATGTCCCCACATCCTGCCCATCAGAAATTACAGATGGAATCTTCCATGTGTCTACTTTACTCCGTTCCCGCTATGGCCACCCTAACCTCAGCCACCAGGGTTTCATCAGAACCGAATCGACAACAGCCCGAAGTCTTTCCTCTTTGCTTCTACTCTTGCCACTTACAATCACCAGCCACTTACATCTGTGGCTAACAGCTCTACCATCCATCCATTCTGCTCTCCTATCCATCCATCCATCATCTATCTAGTCAGATATAAATGTAATCGTACCTCTTCCCTGCTTCAACCCCTCCAGTGGTTTTCCACTCATCCCAGAATGAAACCCAGACTTGCCTGGGTCACCCCCTGCTCCTCGCTCACTGACCTCGCCACGACTCCGAGAACACATGCAAATTCATTTTGTGCTTTATAGTCTTGGCCCTGGTCTGCCCTTCAGGTAATATAGCAAGTCTTGCAACCGGTTTTGTTTACTTGTCCCTCGGCCTGATGACTGACCCCCCCAACCCCCGGCCAGGCATGTCAGCCCCGCAGAGGCTGGCCCAAGTCTATTTTGTTCACCTTTTTTAATGTCCAGCATCCACCCAAGCACTGGCCATGGCGCAGGTGAGCCAAGGGCCAAGCCATCGTCGCTGCGTGAGGGAAGGCAGCGAGAGGAGTAAACCAGGAGAGAAGACACTTGATCCCATCCTCAGGAGTCTGTCCGCAGCCAAGATTCTCCAGAGGGGCTTCCTGAAGATTCTAGGTCACTGTTCCCACAGACATTCCAAACCCTTCGAGACACTCCAAAGGTAAGTTTCTGGGGACTCTGGGCATACAGCATGTGTAATTTCGCATCACCCCTGAGCGTTCACAGAACACTGGCCAACATGCCATCAAGCTCATCAGACCCCTCTAGGGAAAAGCCAACCAAACAACGGAATAGAAGGTAGGAACTTTGCGGGTGACCTCCCCATGGCTTACAGCCATATCATGAACCCTTTTTTTTTTTTTTTCTTTTTGACCTTAGCAACAAGTGGAAACAAGGAGGCCACCCATGGTGCTGGGGAGAGCACAGGGCATGGGGCCAGAAGATTCAAGTTCAAGTCTGCCTTGGCAATGTCCTTCCTCAAAGACTAGCTGAGTCGCTCTAAGCCTCATTTTCCTGTTCGCATGAAGTGGTATTCTTGGGTCTGAGCCCGGTCTAATCATCAAGCGCATGGAAAGAAACCAGGTACCATTGGAAGCAAGTCTATGGATAGGCGATTGCGATGGGTTGGGGGGGGGGGGTCTTACACAGGGCTTGCTAAGCCCAGCTCTCACTCCTGCCCAGACTTCTGGGCTGTAGAGGCAAGGGAGAGGTTCTCTTCTAACCCGATGGCGTGGTGCTCTAGAAGTCAGCTTACAGATACTGTTGGAGTTAAGCACTACCTACTTTCTGAGTCATAGATGTAGTTAAGAGCGCTGCATTTGAGCTTAGGGTTATGTCGGGACTAAAATGCATAACAATGCTGCCCATGGAGTGGGAAAGAGAACCTGTGTTTGTTAAAGTGCTTTGTCAACTCTGCGGAGAGATGCAAATATTACTTATTACCCTGTGGACTGAGTTGAAATAAGCTGATGCCAATGAAATACAGTAGAGCTGTGTTGGGGCCCAGACCAGGATTCTAGCACAGTGAAGTGATTTTCTTATAGGGACGGAGTAAGAACACGGATTAATTTCCCTGTGTTTTACTCTATCTCAGTTAGAGCCTTTGTGCCCTCTCGGAACTTTATTCTTCCTGTAGCATCACTTCCCCACACCCCCTGTCCCAGAGATAGCTGGGGAGACCTAGAGGGAGCAGGAAGGGGAGTGAAAAACCCTCACCCCACAGGAGAAGTTCCCTTTGGCGTGTAGCTCTCCTGGACAGCCTGACTGCTGCAAGGACGCCCAAAGGACTGTGCCCCCGCCATACCAGGAAGTGTGGCAGAGTAGGCTTCAAAAGAGTATGCATCCTGATCGC